TTTTTTGGCTGTTGTTAACTCATTAAAAAGATAATTATATAACTATTGTATGTAACCATAAAACCTATGTAGTTTTTCTTTAGAAATTAAGGAAAATTAAGTTTTAAAAAAACACATGCCAACCAAGAAGCACCTTAATAAGGTTTTTTATTACCCTCAGTAAAGGTGTGGTTTTAAGTTAAAAATCTTTTTTTTAACAAAACAAAAAAACTTAAAATTAATATAATTAAATTATTATATAAGATAATTTGATTTAACTATCTCTATTTGATAAATCTGAGAATCATGTAAGGATGTTAAAATATGTTTTTATATATATCTTTATTTTATTGTGGCTGTTATCATGTCAGAAAAAAATAAATTAATTTTAACAGCTAAAATTAAAAAAAAGTAGAGGTTATTTGGTCAAGTATGGTTCAGACTGGTCGAGTATTGTTCAGACCTTCGGTCGAGTATGGTTTAGACTGCAAAAATAGGTCGAGTACAGGTCGAGAATGGGTTAAGACTGTTTCAGACTGGTCGAGTAATAGTTCAGACTATTTTCAATGGCAAAGATAAGGGTCAAGTACAAATCAGTACGGTCGAGTATGGTTAAGACTGGGGTCGGGTAATGTCGAGTAAAATTCAGACCAATTCAGACTGGTCGAGTAAAAATCAGTACAGTCGAGTACAGATATAGGCCATTTCAGACTTTTACTAATTTGTAGTGGAATTATCATTGATATGGTCAAACTATAAATTAACTGTTTACAAAAATTACCTCAGCTGTATTTCGGGTCCTCAATGTTCTTCAACTTCGTACTTTATTTGGCTTATTTTTAATCGAGCGTCACTCATGAGTCTTTTGTAGACGAAACGAGCGTCTGGCGTACAAAATTTCAATCCTGGTATCTATGATGAGTATTTATGACATATTATTTATTTCTGAGAAATCATTATTTGAATACAAATATTGAAATTAAGTGTATTTTATTCCTTTAAAGCCATATGAATTGTTCGTGCAGAAATTCATACATATACAGTAGTTCGACTACTTAGACCACTCGGCCACCGTGGCCCCTCTGTAGTAACCACTAATTGATTATTGAAAACAGACCCTTTCGCTCCTTCTGAGTCCTTATTCAAACACTTAAACTGAATGGCAGTTGAACAGAGAATAAAATATCACAAGTTTGTGACATTTAAGTGCATCAAAAATGGTGCCCCATCATATCTTACTAGCAAGTTTCATTATTTTAAACCAAAAATAGAATTGTTCAAGAAATATTTTATGTATTATGGACCATTCTTGTGGAACAATTTGCCAATATCGTTACAAAATATTACAAATGTTAGTTCTTTCAAATACAAAATAACGATCATTTATTGAAAATCAACCAGTTGAAAAAATATTCAATATTAAAAATTTCATCATTTAATGCAGTTTTACTGAACATTACCATTATACTTGACTTTTAGACTAAACATATGCCATGTATATGTTTGCATATTTGTTTATGCTTTTTTTATGATGAGGGCCTCAGGGAAGATTAGTTATATAGCAAACTGTGTAACCCTCTTAAAATAAAGTATAGTTCTTGTTGTTGTTGTTGTAGTCAATAAAAATATTCATTTATTGTAGAGTAGAAATATCTTTAGAAGAGTTTTTATTAGAATTGTGTTTTACTGTCTATATTTCGAACTGTTGTTTACCTTTTCGCTCCTTGACTTTCAGCTATGATTTTCTTTTCATATTTGATTTCCCATTTGTTTTTTGTACTCTTGACGAGTCAATATCCTTCGTAGTGCTAGCTCTTAGATTTCATATCATCAAACCATTGATACATTTCATCTTTATTGTGTAAGTAAACACTATTTTTTAAGCTATCATTTAAAAGACATAAATAAAATCAAACAGTTGTGAAGCTAATCCCGAAGGTGTATCTTTTTATTTAATCATTATTGTATGAGAGCATTTCCTTTTCTCCATCTTCATAAGTATATCAACCCTATATTTTTGAAATACTAAGGACTTTTTACACAGGAACAGATTACCTTAGCTGGATTTGGCAAAACTTTCAAAAGTTGGTTCCTCAATTCTATTCAACTACGTACTTTATTTGGCATTTTCAACTTTTTTGATTCGGGCGTCACTGATGAATTTTTTATAGACGAAACGCGCGTCTGGCGTACAAAATTTCAAACCTGATATCTATGATGAGTTTATTTGATTCTTTCGTGTTTTTATCATATAGTTATTACAAAAGAAAGAAATCGTCACTTTTTAAGTACATCTAAATGAAAACATCCCCTTTGTAAAGCACTATAATTATGGGGAAAACTTTAAATGGTTTGAATTATATATAAATGGTGTCAGCGGAAAACACAATTTAAATCTAACTTTTGAGAAAACACAAAACAATTGTCATTTTCTGACACAGAAATTTCTTCTTTCTAGGCCGAGTTGGACGAATCGATGTAGGTCGAAGTTGACCATAAACTCGGCACTCTCTTACTTGTTTTCATCCTAATATTGACAATGGTAAGCTTTGTTACCGTATACATAATAATTGTTACTTTGTATATATTTGATATGTCTACGCACAGCAGCGGTAAGATTAAACCCAAGGAATTGGGATAATCATTTTGTGTTTGTGTTAAATATATTATATATACATCATTACTAACACAATTCTATATTATTATTTTTGTAATGGTTAGAAAATACATAAAATAACACCATTACAAACTTAAACCTAATTTTATCTTCTATTTCTAGAAATTTACCTGTGACGTCACTTTTTGTGGCGTTGATACATTTGTGTGACGCAAAGTTCATAATTCTTTTGTGATGTAAATGGGAGGTGTCCATTGTTATTCTGTGGTTTACATGTTGTAATGTACTATTATATTATTTATTTATGTATGCCTCTGTCCTGAGTGTTCTTGCGTTTAGTTGTAATGTATTCCTGTCACGTAAAGTTGTCATTTTAGCGGTATTTTTAACATTGCCATAAAAGCGGAAGTTTGGCTAGTCATAAAAACAGGTTCAACCCACTATTTTTTTCTAAAAATGTATTGTACTAAGTCAGGAATATGGCAGTTGTTATCAAATAGTCCGTTTCTATGTATGTTGGCGTTTGTTTTTGTAGCAGTTCAGTGTTTATGTTGTTCCGTTGTTTTCCTCTTATAGTTGATGTGTTTCCCTCGGTTTTGGTTTGTGACCCGCATTTGTTTCAGTCAAATCGATTTATGACTATTGAACAACGGTATACTACTGTTGCCTTTATATATACACAAATAAAAGCAGTCAAAAAATTCGGTGTCAGCATTTTCACAAACCAGTCCGCTAAAATTTTGCAAAAACGTCATAAAAGTAATTTGGTGTACTATATACATTTTTCTAAATTTTAGTACTAGTAAGTGAACAGTCTAAGAAAAGCATGACCTTGTGCAATGCCAAAATGTAAGTATCGACACAATGTAAGCCTAAAATGTTCATAACTCTTAAGCCATACATATTTAGTTATGTTTTGAATTATCACGATACAAATCAATGTATGTGACGATGGAGACAATATTCAATAATCTTACTACAGTCTTAGATTGCTAAATAAGTTTATTCAATGAATCAACAAGTTTACATGTTATGAGTCTATATACAACACACCGTAAAATTAGAACGTGATATCGTGTTGTTAAAAAAGATTCTACAGTTACGGTCAAATATTCCGACCAAATACTTGTTTTAGTAACGGTTTTAAACTTCTTGAAGGACTTACGAAATTTGAACATTGTTAAACCACTGTTGTCTCGAATTTAAGTAATTTGTAGTAACAAAATCCCTGACAAGATGATTTACAAGTGAGAGGTATAGCTAGCTATAAAACAAGGAATAATCCACCATTTTCTACATAAGGAAATATATGTACCAAGTCAGGAATATGACAGTTGTTTTCCATTCGTTTGATGTGTTTGAGTATTTGATTATGCCATTTGATAAAGGATTTTCCATTTTGAATTTTTCTTGGAGTTATTTTTGATATTTTACTTTTTACAATTTATTCTTAAGATTACGACAAGGCAACAAACACGACAATACAGAGACGAGCATAGCAACAAGTTGGGGAATATACACATCATGAAAAGGGTCAAAGGAAAACACCAACGTATAAAAAAAGAAGATGAACAATAGGAAACGGAAAATCTTTGAGTAGAGTTTCAGATTGCAACATAAATATTTAAATATATTAGAAAGGACAATTATTATTATTTGTATTACGTATAATTCTGTTTGATAACATGGTATGTGACAAGTATCGTGTAGAGAGTCGAAAACTCACAACTTTCAACCGAATTGAAAATTAAAAAAAGGCACGTTCTTTAATTGTAGTCAAGGAACTCGACAGAAAGATTAGTTGTAGAACACTTCTAGAAGCCGAGATGAAACTATCGACATTTTATGTTTTTGTTTGTGTGTGTAGTTTAGGTTGCCAAAACATAGTAGGAACCTTCAAATGTTAAAAAAAACTTAAACAAAGATGTGGAAATGATATAACTGTCAGATGTTTTACTCTAAGTGGAGCAAACGACATTAAAGTGGAGGAATATATGGTTTCATTCTTTTAAACTTCCATTTACCATTTACCTCATTTCATCATCACATTGTTTGCTGCTTTGTCGAAATTGATGTATTAAAATGATGGTTAGGTGCACAGTTCCATCAGACAATGTTCATACAGTTATATATTTATATAAATATATATTCCATTGTTGGTTTTTCATATCAACTGAAAATAAAATGTAACCCAATTTTGATTGCAGGTAGTGACTAATAATAAAATTGGAAGGACTATTGATCAACACTAAAAATGATAACAAAGTCACAGTCACAGTCGTAGCATTTTACTTGTAAGTTTATGCTTTAACTGATACATAATTACTGATGTAAATAAAAATAACATAATGTAAACTATTGAACCTAAGATGTATTTATCAAGATAAAGAAATGATAAAACATGAATCGATATAAATCCTCTAAACTAATAGATTAAAATGTATCGATCTACATGTGTCATCTGAAATTATATGTCTAGACTATTAGCAATACTACGAATAAAAAAGTCTGGTATAAACTGACCAACTGATCTTTGATTTGTCGTATTATTTCTTAATTAAAAAATTCGCTGATCTCAAAAAAGTTATCTATACAAAAATGTTCCTTCATATAACGGTGTATGTTCTGGCAGAAAACAGCACTTTCATTTTTTAAATGAAACAAAAGAACATTCTTCTGCGATTCACTCGCAATACTTGGAAGCGTACTGACACAATTAATCTAAAATTAGGTTTATTCAAGATTTTATATCGACAATTCTATGTTTGGTTTCGAAGTAATTTTGTTAAGTTCAACCAGAACTGTCCCTCGTCATATTCTTTTGTTGGAAATTTACTAAGTGATGCTGAATTAACAAAAGCACGCAAACTTGATGATATATTTTCGTCAGACACATCCTCTACCATAAGACTTATTAATGCGTCAGATTCCATGTTAAGACATTTTTCCTGCGCTATTCTTGATTCAAACAGACACCAGTCGCTTTTTACCATATCATGAGATATAACGAGAATTATTCTCCTGCTTGCGGTCATTTTTTCAATTATGTTCTCGACATACACTTTTCCAACTTCAAAATCTCGATCTCTTATACATAAAGAAATTCCCGACTCATTTTCTAATTTTTCTAAAAGCTTTTTTCGAATCCACTCTTATTCATTGTCACAGTAAATTACGTATGCTTCAAATTTATAATCTGTTTCCTCATTTGAAATAAGAGAAAATCCTTTCTTTTTCACACGGTAAAGAAATAACCAATATCGTATATGCCATCGTAATCTGAAGATTAAACTGAAAATTATAACGAACACAATTCCTGATAATGATAGTGATGTGACAACCGCTGTGAATAATTCCTTATCTGAATTGGAATATTCGAAATATGTTGGTATTGCATCTTTGAGCATTTCACCGTCTTTTTCTGGAGGCGTTTTACAATGGTACAATTCTGGATAATTTTCGAAAATGATTTTTTCCGTTTGTATCCAGTTGTGAAACCATACATTAGAGCATGTACATGCAAAGGGGTTGTTTCCTAATGACAAAATTGATAAATGTTTGAATGCATTTCGAGGAAACAGTGTTTCGTTTATAGTTGATAAAGCATTTCCGGTCAATGTTATCGATCGAACAGATGATTGGTTTCCGAATACTCTATGTCCATTCCAAGATGAGATTCTGTTGTTTTCAAATGAAACATATGATAAGTTAGGCAATTTGAAAAACAAATTCTCAGGTAGTGTAATCAGTTGACAGTTGTCAATAATAAGATGTGTTAGAGATCGTAATGACGATAACATTTTATCTAAAACATGTATAGAGGGGAATTCGTTGCCACTTAAATCAAGAGATTCTATTTTATTTAGCTATATCTGAAAATTTCGGTCTCATTAAAATGGTACATTATGTCATTTGGGAAAACAAAATGATTGTTAGTAAATTTTAACAGTTTCAAAGTAATGCTTTGAAATGCTCTATCGTCTATTCTGTTAAATCGGAATCCTAGATTAGCCATGTATAGGAATTCAAGCGACGGGAGTTTAAGAAAAGTGTAATTCAATAAACCTAAAATTGGATTCCCAGAAAGACGTAAAGAGTTTAGATTCTCTAAACACCAGAACAGGTTATTTACATTAGAAATGGAATAAGCCACTAAATTAAGGCTAACAAGTTTCGGGACATAGCAGGTTGTTTCATTTCCAAAAAAGTCTTTTTTTATTTGTATACGATTATAATAAAGAGATCAAGTATTTCTAATTTTTGTAAAAATCCTGGTTGGATAATAGAGATTATGCCATATCCAATACGCAACTCTTTAAGCTGAACCAAATTTTCGCTTAAAAGTGTCATATTCAAATTTTCGAAATTGTTCTCCAGCATTTCTAGCTTTTAAATGTTAAAGCGTGATAAAGCAATGAATAAATCAGTTGGTTCATTGCTCCATTTCATTCTATAAAGTATAATTTGTTTAAAATCTAAACAATTAATTTGTGCTACTGCATCTGCTACAATAGACGGAGTCAATTTAGGATTCCTACTGAGCTGAGATCCAATTTAAGGAGGAAACGAAAATGAATGAAGGCATCAGTTGTGATATGTGTTATGCCGTTCCGTTCCAGAGAAACATATACAAGTTTCAATCCTTCCAAATTTCGAAACCTTGAAGCGTTAATTTTTTCAAGTAGATTTCCTGAAAAGTCAAGTTGTGTTATATAGCTCGGAAACACCGGGATGAACCGTAACAAGGCACCTCGACATGACGCAGATCCATCTTTCATCAAACATCTACATGACTTGGGACAACTACTGCTTCGTGCAGCAAAAACATAGACAGGCAGCACAAGAAGAACAATAATCGAAACTGAACTTTTTAGCATATTCCTGGAAAAAAAACCAGACGAAAATTATAGTTTTATGATAAATTGATAAATCAATACCATAAACCACCGAGTAAAAACATTGTATTAAAGTGCATTTTTAGGACAAGTGTAATCTAGGAAGTCCTTGTAAATGGCACGAGAAAAATGTTTATAGCTTGATTTCTACTGGAAAACAAGAACGCAGAGGTTAAGATAAGTAATATTGTTTGACAACAATTCTCCTCTTTTAATCCTAAGGTAAAAGGGGCGTCGCAAACTGTTTGACTATCCAATAGCAAATCAATATGAAGATCAACGAAGTGTTGCACACTCTCTGACTGCCAAAAATTCTCGTTTAACATATCAAGATTCAATAAAGTAAACAATTTAACTCTTTAATTTTTAAAAATATCATAGAAATTGAGAATAACGTCCTTTTGAACAGTGGTTTCATCTTCTTGTTATAATTATGAAAAATTGGAATGGAAAATTTAATCCTGTAGCTTATTAATCATATACATATTGATACATGTACATGTCATAGATTTTTTTTAGTATTAGATAATATTATTTTTTATCATTATGTATGGCATTATAATTCTGATATAAATGTATATGGTGGTTTAACCTACATTTTCATAATTTGTTTTAAAGGGAAAAATTCGGGTAAATCCATCTTGGAGGAAATAACTTTTTTCCGACCAAGATTAAATAATGACGAATAGTTAGTGTTAGCATGAATAATTAAGACATCGGTAAAAGTCGATGTCACTGCGACATGTAAATTGTTATGTCAGCTTATTGATTTGGTTTATGACTTAGGATAGCCAAAAATAACTTATCTTAGTATTTAAAACCCCGTCAAATATCATATCATCGTAAAATGTTCTGCAATTAATTTTTCTGTGCTTTTGAAATGTTGTGACGGAAACCTGTAGTTCAGTGGTTATTGGTTCGTGTTTGTCATATTTGTTTTTCGTAAATTGTTTTGTTGTGATCTAGGCCGTTACTTTTCTCAATTGAATTGTTTCATTTGTTTCATGTCGGGGCCTTTTATAGCCGACCATACGGTATGGGTTTTTCTCATTGTTGAAGGCCGACGGTTGCCTTTAATCGCTTACGTCCACTTCATTTGAACTTTGGTAGATAATTGTCTCATTGGCAATCATACCACATCTCCTTATTTTTTTTATTGATGTAATTATATGAAGTTTGAATGTCAAAGGAGACAACTTTACACCTGAGGCCAAATGACGTAGAAGTTAGCCATCGTACGCCTGGTCCCTTTCAACAACTAAAGCCTTTAGACTAACTGTTGTAATACAACGCATGGAAAATTTTAATAAAATATTTTTGGATTCTAAAAATCTATTTGGATGGTTTAGATAAATTAAGTGCTGTTGATGATTGGCAGTTATGACTTTTCAAATCTCTACACTACACTTCCACACATTTTCATCAAAACAAAAGATTAATTATTCAACTGAATAGTCCTTTGACAAATTTGAGTGCAAATGTATTGCTGCTACTCATATGAAGCCTTCTTCTGTAATGAAATGAAATTGGTTAATATGGTAGGTTTGTTTTCTGTTTTTGAATATTATAACATTTTGTTTAGCCGGGGCCATTTATAGTTTAATACACAATATGGGATTTGCTCCTTGTTGAGAACCATACAAATTTCCTATAATATATCACCGGCCTTTGGTCTCAGGTGAATAGTTGTCGCATTGACATACACACCACATCTGCTTTATTTACATAACAATCGATCAACATTAATTTCGTTGTCAGTTTTTCATCGACTTATGTGTTTGAATATCTCTTTGGTGTCTTTCGCCTCTCTTTTTCAAGAACTGAGAATAAAAAATTATAAAAAACTTACATAAATTCATGAAAGAAAACATGCACAAAGGTAAACATGCTTCTCATCTAAACAATTTAAAATATAGCACTAGAAATTAATATTTACTTACAAACACTTTCCTGGTCTAGCGTAAAGGTAATGAAAACCTGAGTGTGGAAATATTTAAACCGTTAGAAGGTGTATTTTCTCATGATAAAAATAGCTGTTATATATAGTTAAACGTTCATATGTCACCATCAACCCTTATCGTACTTTTTCACTGCATGCACGATACTAAGAAAGATATGGGCCTTTATTTGGAATTATATTGCGCATTTATTAAGGAAATATTAAAATTTTCAAAATGTATTTCATAAGCGTAGATATAATAAATTGCGTTGATTTAAAGTCATATGAAACGTGTTTCTTGTAAAAATAATATCTCTGAAATTATCGAACCAAAGAATGCATATATACTAAACTAAGTCCTGTATTAACGATTATTTTTAACATTTATTACGAATTTATAGCGTTGTATCGACCAATGATATTTCATTCAGTGGTTATTGATCGTTAGCTTATTAACTTTCGAGTTTTTGCCGAAGTTTACCGGATCGTTACATTGATAAACAATCAACACAGAGCACATGAAGCACGAAAAAAAATAAATTGAAAGAGCCATGATATTGTTTTGATATATTTTCCATGCGTTCCCATTTGTTTATTAAACTTTTCCTTAACAGTTGTTAAATGATTTGGTGTATCTAATTTGTTATTTAAAGAATCCGTTATTACTATTTATTTTCACTTTGGTGAACATTCTTTCATCACGGATTCCCCTCGGACTTGTGCTGTGCGGCCACCGAAGTTCCAACAAGGGGTCTCTTAGTGAAGGTCACTGCATGCGGACAAATGTTGGCAAATTAGTGTATGGGAAGACAATAATTCAATAGCCGTACATTTATGAAGGTTTTGATAATATGAAGGATGTTCTTTTACAAGAAAGATTACGTACACTTCTTTTAAAGTCAAAAGTAAAAATAAAAGTCAAAAATAGCCATTTAAGTATTTACACATATTCCGTTTTTTTTTATTTAGTTCATATGACCTTAAAAAAAAGTAGAGAACATATATATTTGAATTATGAGTTTATTTCTACTAAGGTAGAAGAAAAAAATAATTTAGGGAAACTGAAATCGTCACTTTTATAACTTAGAATTGTATTTATTTTTTTTTATCTTTTTTATTCATTTTATCAATAGTCGGGTTTTTACATCACTCAATTAGAACCACCTGACCAAGAAAATACAACAACAAAAGATTATTGTTTTACAAAAATAAATAAACATTTGAAAATCTCCTAAGGTAATTAAAGATCATAATTTAAGGGAAAATTGGACAACACCATAACCGAAAGAAAAGTTGAACAGTCAAGCAACATTTGACAACAAGTTTCCCATTGCCAATGTAAAAATTGAAAACAATTTTTTTTTATTATCTTTTGATGACGTCCTTTTTTCTTCTCATGTGTACAATCAAATCAAACATTAATATGAAGACAACTCTGCAGAATTCATCTTTTATTTTTAATATCCAAACGAAAATAAATAAATTCCACATTTGTATCTGTTAATATTTTCTTCAGAATTTTTTGAATTGTATAGTAAATTGAAAGCCATCATATGTCTTTGTGAATGAATCATTTATCACTTCAAACTGTACGAAATATTTTACTTGGGACTTGTTTAGCAACTGCTAGTATACGTATTATAAGACGTGTTACTAAAAGGTATAGACTCAACGCAGAGGTTGACAAATTAGCCTTTAAATGTGAGGACTGTGTTAATACATTGATCATCGATTTAAACCGGTAATATTTAAATCATATAATATGCGTGATGCTACACACGTCTTGGTTCAATTGAAATATATTAATGTAAAACCTTTCAGTGTAAGGTACGAAATTTAATCATTTTCTGATATCATTGGTTGTGATTATAGGTCGGGAAAGGTTATTCGTATGTGTATGGAGGTGGAAGAGGGTAAAGTAAATGCAAATTTGCACTTCTAGATTGATGAAATTTATAAAAAAAAAATTAAATATTACATAGTAAACCAGTTTGTAAAAAATGTATTACAGTTGGAG